CTGTCCAAGTCAATAAAGTTTATATGAGAAACTTAATGAAGCAAACGTGCGTGGTTCCGAAGAGTTTGATTTATCTCTGAACATGTGGAGCGTACAAATAATCTGAATCTGGAGTCTGCTAAAGATACTAGTGAAAGTGAGAGTGACAATGGACTCGTTGTGATTGAACAGGGGATAGAATGTCTGAAAAGGAACGTTGAAATTGGAACAAAGTGCTGCTATATGATTGATGGTTCGGTGGTTGAAAGATTAATGTGGATGAGATAATTGGAGATGATAAACATAGCCGTTGATGAGAATGTAGATAATCCAAAAGAAAGTACCTCTAGTGGGTACATGGATGAAGTAGTTGTGAATGACAGCCAAGATAAGAGATTACTGTGTCTCCACTGGATAACCATGGACGAGTTGGATAAGCTTTCAGCGGCCTATTGATTTCAGAATTGGCGGATTTAGAATCTCCATTGATGTAGATGAGTTTTTTGAGCAAGAAAACTACATGGATGTTAAATCAAATTACAGAGCCAGTAAAATGTTAGAGAAATCACTTAGCTTGGATGATGCTACTGAGTCAGTGGCAAGTGAATTTTTAAATATGCTGAGAGTTGAGATGCTTCTTTTGGCTTGGCTCTGATGGTGATCCAGTCTCTAGAGAGCGTCTGTTGAGGAAGTTTGAAAAGAGACTCTGGCTTCAGGTAATTTCATTTTAGGTTTTGACACAGAGGAGGATCAGGTGCATTTCAGTTGCATTGCTCCAACGGATCTGGTAGGGGATTGTTTCCAGATTTTGGTCACTTTCCAGATATTCATGGTTCGAGGATGAGCACAAGAGTGCAGATTGGTTGTTGAAAAATAGAAGGAAGGCCAACATTCTTGAAGACTTGGAAACTGAATCTTTAATGAGAGAATGGGGCTTGAATGAGAGGGCCTTTCAGAGGTTCTCCACGCTATTGCTCTGACGGATTTGGAAGTCCAGTGGAGCTCTCTTCTAAATATTATTTGAGTTACCTGCACTTGGAATGGCTTTGGACCTTTTGTTAAACAAAGGGTGGAGGTTATCTGAGGTCTATGAGTCCCTTATTTCAGAAATGCTAAAAATGTTGGGAGCCTGATCATGCAAGTTTCTAGACCAGTTGTCTTCCAGCAGAAATGGGCTCCGAAATCAGTGACGTACGAGCACTTGGCATCAGTTGGAATAAAAAGTTGTCTGTGCAGACAAGAAATTAATGCCTTTGGAGGATATTACTGGGAAGACACTGAAAGAAGTAGCACGGAAGCCACACCTAACTATGGTGTCAAAGAGGTTTGTCAACACATCAATTGCACATATATATGAAGTATTCGATTTCCATATCATGTATATGTTCCCTTTATTTCTGTTTTTCTTAAATCCTTTTCGCTACTTGATATGCCTGATGATTAATTTGTTTCTTATTTTAATACAGGCAGGCTCACCACTGTATGGATCAAATTTGGGCGGATGCCTTTGGTAGGAGACTGGAAGTGAAGAATTTCATATGGTTGGAGTTATGAATATGAAAGCTCAGGTTTAAATAGTGATGTGATGGACTCAGGTGGGCATCCGTTGAAAATTTTACTCTTAGCAATGGATAGGACGAGACTCTGTCAATTGAAGGTTTGAGAATTCAGTCCACATGTCTGATGCGGATGCCCCATCACGCATCAGAATCCACCCCATCAAGAAGAACTTTGAGTGGAAAAATACCAATTTGGTTGGGTTACTCAATTCAGAAGGAGCTCAGAATTGCAACTCTTGATGTCAGGGATGATGCTAGATGATGAATTGATGGATTGTCTGTAACATTGATGAGTGGTTGAGTGGATTGTGGAATTATCGGTGATGAAGATCATATTAACAAGAGCAGGTTAAAGATCTTGGCTGCCCATCATGCTAAATGCATAGATTTGGTTGGTGGAACCATAGCAGGGCACCTCAACTGGGATGAGGCACTTGGTAAAAACCACGGTTTGTTGGGAAATAACCTCACAGTAGCTCTCAGGGTGTTGCTTCGAGATCCTTTCGAAACTATGAACCTGTTGGCACCTCAATGCTAGCACTGTTTCGATGGAGAGGGTTGTTCTCCCTTTTAAGCCAAAAATATGCAGCACAATCTTAAATAGAAATGAGGAAAAGGACAATGAAGCCAGCTTAAATGAGTCAGTGACAAAGAAAATGAGAAAGAATAGAAGGAACTCCATGGTTTAATTTTGGAAGTCCATCTTGCAGGGTTGAACATGAGCTCGGTCAAACCAGATTTGGGGTACCAGAACAGCAACAGTCTGGGACCCGCTGGTGTTAGCTAGTGGCATGGTAAGTCAGTAAACATCAGTTTCAAGTCAAAGGCCATTGTAATATCTAACGACAAGGGAGTGGAAAAGTGCAGAATGAGGATGTCTTGTGGGTATAACCTCTGATTCTCATGACACAAGAAGAAATTGGCAAGAGTCGGTAGGACTGGTTCCATACATTCGAAACCCAGACATTGTATTTCAAGTGAAAGTAGCAGGTGAGATGTATTTAGTGTGGATTCTTTTGTTGGCATAGTAACAGAGATGGCAAGGGAACTTACTGTTTGATCACCTAAATTTACGTCTTTATCTTGAAATTATTTTCATTCTTAGCAAGATTTTTGTATAGCTTCTAGGAATAAATTTTGAGTGGTTCTGTTGATCTCTAGGATCATATGAAAGATGAAATTTGAAATTGTAGTTTTGTGTTGGATGTAATCAGCTGATGTGCATTGAAACAAATAAAACAATCTAAGCTCAGTTCTTCAGCCTTGCTCCTTGGTTTGATCCAAATTTGCTGTTTTCAGTAATGATGTCTTATTTCACTGTTAAATCCAATTTTATTTTATGTTCACTGTAATCCTACTACCTTTAGCGATTGATTCGGGAATCTAGACTTACTCATAAAGAAAGAGGGAGGAAAACAATTGAGCTGTAGCCTGTAATGGTGGTACAAAGATAAGAAAAACTTGTCAACTTAGCCTGCCGTAGAGGAAGGAAAGTGGAAGAAACAAAAAAGGGATGGTGTTGGAGAGAAAGACAAATATATTGTCTTGCTCCGTCAAGTGTGCTATGAAGCAGTGGCTAAGTAAGCCCCAATTCAGTTTTTTTTTTTTGGATAAACCGGTTATAATACAGAGAAAAGGAACGAATAAGAAAGGAATAAACCTTAAGTTGCAAACCCTTGGACAGACCCAGGGGCAAAGCCAGAACACAAAAAGACTAAGGAGCTGCCTATACTCATAGCCCAGACAGACCCAGGCCTGTAGATGCTATAACACACACAAGGCAAACGCCCAAAAAAGGAGGGCACAGCTCTGCTGACATATATATGATCAAAAGACCTATAAACAAAGTTATCACTAATCCTAATCAGCAAACTAACTGGATCCCAACACAAGCAAACAGCAGGCAGTAGAAACCAGTAACGAAAGATTAAAAAAACAGTTTCATCAACCCAACCATCCACACTTCATCAACTAGCAGCAAATTAGAGAAGAATGCACAAAACCATGGGAGGTCCCATTCAGACATAAACGACGGACAGAAAGGCTATCCTTGAATCGGAGGAGTAAGCCGAAGCCTAACTTCTTTTATCCAGTTTTCTTTCCATACAGCAAGCTGTAGCTACCAACAAGTCTTTCCCAAAGTATTTCCAATATTGATGTGCCATGTCCCCTCACCAATCACTACTTCTTTCAAACATTCATATAATGAACTGTTTTAATTGAAATGAAAATTAAAAGAAAAAAAACACCTAAGAAATATAGCAGTATATCCCTTAATATTTTACAATTATGTTTAACAAATTTTTAGTTTGAGCATGGATTTTGAATTATTTTTGTACCATTAAATAGAAATATCAATTAGTAGTAGAGAAAATGGTGGAAATTAATGGGATAATTTACAGTAAATAAAAGGATTTTAATTTTTTTTTTTTTAATTAAGAAAATAATTGAGTAAGCAGTGGGAGTAAATACAAAAATGTTGAAGAGCATATGAAATTAGGGGTGTTAAAAAAATTCAAAACCGACGAACATTCTACTGAACAAAATGTTCGTTTCGGTTAAAAGAAATACATAAACCGAAAATTTGGTTTGATTACCGGTTTAAAGAAATTTTAAAACTGGATTCGGTTTTAAAAACCGGTTTCACTTTAAAATACAAAACCCTAAATCCCCAAATCTTTTCTCTTTACTCTTCAGTCATCACCCTTTATGCCATCTTCTCATTTTTTTTTCACACAAACACACACATTTCTCCTCAATCCTCACCGATTTTCTCTTTTCTCTTCCCTCTCAAAATAAAAAATTAGTTAAATTAGAAAGAAATCAAAATAAAAAATAAGTTAAAGCGAAAACCGGTTTTCCCCTTAAACTATTTGGATTTGGTTCAGGGAAATTCCTGAACCGAAAAACTGGTTATGAACACCCTTAATGAAATGATGGAAGTGGGACAAAGAATAATATGACCACATGTGTCATATTATTAATGACATCATTAACATTATGTTAGCAAATAAGAAAATAGACAGAATAGATGGAATAATAGTTTTAACAAATTTGATAAATTTTAAATTAAATAATAATAATAGTATTATTTATACCAAAAAAGGAAGCAAAACAACCCAGTTTTCAAGCAAAAAAGAGAGAAATGGTACTTAAAAGAAGAAAAGGAAGAACATTGTACAACTTAAAGATAAAAAGGAAGGTGCTTCCATGAAATTTATTATACGAATATACTTAAAAACACATAAAATCTAATTGACAGAATTTCAGTAGAAGCAAAAGTGATATATAAAGCTCAGCAATAATGCACTGAAATTGACAAGACTTCATGTTATCTAATTGAAAGAGATCAATCTCCTCTTAAAAAGCTTACTAATTCTACAAGAGTAGGTGCAAAATTATCTTACAAAATTGCAGAAACATACTGCTTAATAGTCACAAGTATTTGAGACTGATTGTGCATGGTTCATAAAAGCAAAACTAGGTGGTGCTTGGATGAGTATGAAGACCTTCATATGTAGTAATTACATAACTTGGATCTTCTCTATCTCTTTCAACTCTTTTCTTTACCGGGCATCCTTCGATCGAGCATTTATAGTAGTTCCTGTGTTTATCACAACAAATGGTATATAAATCTTTTACATTTGGTAGAAATTCAACTTATCTAAAACACTAGACGTTCAAATTGTTTGCCATACCTTGGATTCGGGCTGTTCTTCACCATCTTCTTCCCATACTTCCTCCACCTGTATCCATCGTCCAATATCTCAATCTCTGATTTTGTCTTGAACGCAACTCTCTTCCTCTCCCGACCACTTTCACTTTCATCTAATTAATGTCACACGAAACCATTAGTATAAATACTTACAAGAACAAAATTTACATGGAAAATTTAACAACTTCCTTACTGTTACTAGGTCCTTCGGTTTGGCCACCAATTCCTCCCGATTCAATTACTTCATTTGCTCGATAAACCGGATTCTCAACAGCCCCGAAAATTGTGGCCGCTTGATCGTCCTCTAGCCACTGATCAAATGTGAAGTAGTCGGAGAGCTCAAAATTGGTCGGTTCCGCGGTGTAGTCACTCTCAGGCGAGTCCTGAGGTGGAAAATTTGCATTATTACAGTTTTCGGACGACATATCGAACAAGTTAGGATTATAAGGAAGAAATTGCAGCATTTCTTTGTTTTATAGAAATCTGGGAACAGAATTACAAGTTGGAGGTGGGTTCATGCTGAGGTTCCTGGGATATTGCAGGAAGGTTCAACGTTAATTCTGAGAGCAAAGGGAAGATGTGAAGATGGAAAGGGAGTGGGGCATGGGGGGATGACTTAAAGAGAAGACTTGGAGATTTATATTTGTTTAGGTTGACGTTTTTTAATCAATTAAAGTCTCGTGCCAGCCTTACACAAAACTGAAAGTGACTTCAACATTCATAATCTAGATTAACTGTTGCTGTTGTAACATTTGTTTTTATTTAGAATAAGGCTTTCTTTTTTCAACCGGTGTATTCCGTCTACTGCATGACCTATTTATTTGTACAGGAACTTATGAATATAAAAACTTATTATTTCATCATTTATATATTGATGTCCTATCCTGTGTAATTTAGATGAGAAATTTGAGATGCTCACAGTTTTAGATATATCATATACTACGACCATTTTGAATGCAAAAAAGTCGTTGCATATTTTAAACCAGTCTTTCAATTTCAAAGTTTGCATCAGCTGGTCTAGTTTATCGTATGAATTTAAGACCAATCCATTCCAGTCTACACGTGCTTATGACCTAATTGGTTTGTGTATTCATCGAAACACACTTTTGAATAAGCCAAGGAAATATCGAAAAGACGATTTTTTGTTTTTGAACCATGCGCCACTTAATACTTCTAGCCATGGATGCGAGGAGCAAATGATTAAAAGGCCATATTTCCCTTGAATTTAATTAAAAAGCCATGTAGTTTTTTAGTTTTTACTAAATGATCTTATTTTTTATTAAGACAAACTAATAACAATTAAACACTAATCATGACTTAATTAGGATCAATGAAGTATTGTGTAATCTTTTAAAACTTATAATATGTCCCCCAAAACTTGAAATTCTTGCAAACAAACCCAAACATAACATTTTCTTCTTCTTCCTCCCGCCATTAATGCATCCCTCCCCTGGTTGTTGCTTATTCTAAGCTTCGTCTACATCTTCTTCTTCCTCTTTCCTGTACATCTTCTTCTTCTCGACATTAACACTTCCGCCACAGATCCTCCTCCTCCTCCTCCTCCTGATATTTCGTCCAAGTATGTGTATTTCCCCTTTCCATTTTATATTTCGATTTACAAAGATTTAATGATGGATTGGGTTTGGGTTATGATTTTGATTTAGTTGTTTAAGTTGTGTTTGATATAATGTAAGTTGAAATGAGTGAAATTTGTTGAATATTTTCTTGCATTGTGGGTAGCTGGGGGTGGTAGCACCAATTGTAGGTGGAGATGACTGAAAATGTGTTATGGATATGATGGATCGCTTAAGCAATCAGGTGTATCGCTTAAGCGATCTGCTATAAGTCTGGTATATGACAGCAAATCGCTTAAGCGATCAGGTAAATAGCAGAAGATCGCTTAAGCGATCTACTATAAGTTTGGTATATGGCAGCAAATCGCTTAAGCGATCAAGTAAATGACAGAAGATCGCTTAAGTGATCTGCTATAAGTCTGGTATATGGTAGAAGATCGCTTAAGCGATCAGATAAATGGCAGAAGATTACTTAAGTGATCAGGCTTATTTATACCAGATCGCTTAAGCGATATAATAGATCGCTTAAGTGATCCAATAAGCGATATACTAGATCACTTAAGCGATACACCAAATCGCTTAAGCGCTTTTGCATATGCTTTTTAAAATCTTTCAACCCTTAATATATCAGTTAATAATATTTTTTTTCTTGCATTATAGGTACTTGGCTATTATTAGACATGAGGCAAGTTGTTTTGGGTGTTGAATATTTTGGTGAGTGGGTGGAGGAAGAAAGTTGCTGGAAGTGGATTGGGAAGAGCAAAGAAGTTATACCAATTGTTGTGAGCACAAAGTTTAGTTTTGATGAGTTGATTGATGAAATAATTAGAAGATGTGATTTGAGTTGCTCACGTAGTGATATAGTTGTGAAGTATGTTTTACGCAGAGTTCCTGAACATTATAAGATACCTCTTGCTATCTTAAAGTCGGATGAAGGTGTGAAGTTATATATGATTGATGTGAGCGATAATGGTTTGAGGCCGATTTTAAGGGTTTCTTTTATAGATAAACCGTTGGAAGTTGGTTCAAAGGAAGAGGATAACAAGGAAGTTGGTGGAGAGAATGCTGGTTCTAATTTGAACTATGAGGGCATTGATTTCTTAGTTGAAAAATCAAGAGTAGGCAGTGATTTGGGTGGTAAGGAGGACACTGTAGAAGAGGTTGGTCACGTGTGGCAGAATGAAAATGTTGACGAGGAGGACTCCGTACATGTTCCCGCAAACGTGGAGATTCCTTTAAATACATATTATGCAGAAGTTGTAGTTTGTGAGGAAGAGAACACTATGGTCTCTTTATGCAGGTTTAGAGGTGACAATTGCAGGTAGTAGTGAATCAGCTCATGTTTTTACTAATGGATCGGACTTGCGCGTAGGATATTTATTTGACAACAAAGAGGAAGTGGTAAGGAAGCTAAAACTTGTTACCGTGAGAGATAGTTTTGAGTTCATCACCAAAAAGTATAATTCATTGGTAGTGATGGTTGCATGTCGAGACCGAAAGTGCAAGTGGCGGGTTTATTGTAGAAGGTTGGCAGAGTCCAAAAAATTTATTGTTAGCACATATACTCGTGAGCACACATATGGGTTGAGACATATTTCAGGTGAGCGTCGACAAGTCTCCACTGATATTATTGGACAATTTGTCAAAAGTCAGTTTGTTGAAAGGAAAGGTCCATCTTCTAAGGACATTCAGAGACTTATGCGCACAAAGTTGGGATGCACTGTTAATTACTAGAAATGCTAGAAAGGGAGACAACATACACAAGATTTGTAAAGGGCACGCCGGAGCACGAGTACGTAGTATTAGAAGCGCACTGTTATATGCTTGAGTTGACAAACTAAGGTAGCAAGACAACTTTGAAGTAGGACAAGAATATGAGGTTTAAATATTTTTGTGTTGCTTACGATGCTACTATAAGGGGTTTTGTAAACATGAGAAAGGTGTTAGCTATTGATGGTTGCTTTTTGATGAGAAAGTATGGAGGTACATTGTTGGTGGCCACTGCACAGGACAATGAGAATCACACATATCCCGTTGCATGGTGTGTGGTTGACTCTGAGAACGACAAGTTGTGGACTTGGTTTTTTCAGCAATTACGTACGATAGTGTCTGACAATGACGAGTTGTGCATAATATTCGATAGGCACAACTCTATAAAGAAGGGGATTGTCACTATTTACCCTCAAGCACATCACGGATTCTGTATGAGACACCTTGGTGAGAACATAAAACAAAAGTTTAAGTGTGCTGGTCTCCTTCAGACATACTACATGGCAGCAAAAGCTTATCGAGTTGATGAGTTCGAGGAGCACTTCCGGCAAATTCGAATCAAGGATGATAGAATTGCTAAGTATCTTGAGCATGATGTTGGTTTTGAGCGATGAAATAGAGCTTACTTTCTTGGAAGAAGGTTTGATGTCATGATCACAAACATAGCCGAGTCCATAAATTCGAAGTTGTTAATAGAAAGAGAGTTTCCAATAGTTGCCCTTTTTTATGTAATCTAGAGGACATTGTCACGTTAGTTCCATGAGCGTTGTATGGAGTCAGATGATTTTACCACAACCCTTATTCCGTCAGTTGAAAAATTATTGCGAGAACGTATGGAACTATCAAATACACTGTTTGTCTATCGTCTTAATGCTCAAGAGTTCACAGTGCGTGGCTATGGTTCGGATGCCCTAGTTATCTTCTTAGTAAAACTTGCAGCTGTAAAGTGCTTGACATTCAATGTTTACCTTGTCCTCATGCACTAGCAGTACTAAAACACCAATGGAAGCCGGATTTTGGTTCAAGAATTTACATGGAACTTTGCTCCCCTCTTTATATGGCAAATCACTACATGCTAGCTTATTCGGAAATGATATATCTAATTCCTCCAGAAGAGTAGTGGGTGGTACCACCAGAGTTGGTTGACATTATTATCCATCTGCCATTCATGAAGATAGAAAAGGGGAGAAAAAGAGTTAAGCGTATTCCATTAGCATGTGAGGTTCCTCGGAGGATGAATAAGTGCTCAATTTGCAAGCAACCTGGCCATAAGAGAAGCAGTTGCCAAAATCAATCACATGCAGATCCAGAAAATTAAGTTCGAATTGATCAGAAGCAAGAAAGCAAGCAATCTACAAATAAGATCAGATCGTTCAAGTGACATAAGATCGCTTAAGCGATCTGTTGCTCATCAGATCTGGTGACCACCAAATCGCTTAAGTGACATAAGGTTGCTTAAACGATATTTTCTTATATGCAGATCTGACAAGCAGATCGCTTAAGCGACTGAATATTGCTTGAGTGATCTGGTGAAGTTATTATGTTTCTCTTTTGTGGTGCATTAAATTGATTTTATGTCCTTGTATTTCCAGCTATGTTATCAAGAAGAATGATAAAATCAAGAGAGTTGCCAAGGCCAACCGTTGAAGAGTTGTTGTTTTCAATTTTTTATGTTTTAAATTTAATTGTTACCTTAAATAAATCATCCTTTATAACGTATTAAATCAAATTAATTATTTTTCATTTTCATCCATTTTAAAAAGGGTTTAAGTAAGTAAAATTTCGCATATTACCTCTATACGGCATTGATTGTTTCGCAAAGAAGTAAGACAGACAAAATAAATATTATCAACATAATTGTCGTATCAAGTCAATCAATCAATCAATTTACTAAATTAGTCACGAGTGTGGCACATTAGTAGAAACGTACCTCATTTCACAAAAATGGATGGTTATGATTGAATATAAAGCTCACTCATAATACATAATATAATTTCTCACTCAAACGTGCATAATATCAAAAGATCGGCGAGATAAGAAGCAAAATAGCCTTGGTCGCTTAAGTGATCCTGATTTTGCCT